TCTCCGCTTGCCATTGGGGTCATGGTGAATTTCACTGGGGTCTGCAGCATCTGTACTTGCAGTTGTCGGCCGTGATAAATCACTGTCTGGGTCGTGCTTCCAAGACACACTGTCAAAGTCATCATGTTGATCCATCATAGGCGGTTGTTGGTTGGCCGTGGTCAACCGGCTGATAGTTTTTGAAACCCCAGCAGTGTCGAGAAATCAAAATTTTGCAGATAATATTTGATCAAGGAGTGATTAGGACTGAAAAGATCAAAGAGGTGGAATGGAGGAGAAAGTTTGGAGGTGCTAAGTTCAATGATCGCCGTTCCCCAAGGCGGAGTTCTGAAACGGAACGTCATCGTTTTATTATTAGAATCAACATCGAAAGGTTGTCCACATAGTTTATCTTTACTGCCCTTGGTTATACCTAAGAAGATAAGTAGAAAAAAAAAACAACCAAAAAACACAGTGAAGTGTTTCTATTGAGTAGATATATCGAATTGTCATAGTCCCATTTTGTTTAGAATAAAGGCCGCATGCAGAGCCGTCAAATTCTTGTCTTTGTGATGCTAGTGATTCCTTGATAATAGCTTCACCTCTAATACAACGATCTTTGTAATATGCACAGCACGCTTTGGGATTCCTGGCAACTGGGAGATATACAGATAGACTCTATTATCCCTACCCCCATCTATTCCAAGCAAACGATAATATCCAATTTCAATCACCGAATCAATATGGCACATTGACAACACCGAACAACATGCAAAATGACTATCCACATTAGATTAAGGTTTTTCCTGATGGGGGCCACCATGGGACGTTCCATCTTTGTCATCCTTTTCCTGGATATTGCCCGACCCATCATGATACGGCTCATCATCATTATCACTGAACATTTCCTCGTCACTCTCTCCAGCGAATGCGTTATACAATTCACCGCCACGACGCTGTGTTCGACCAGATGCTCCAGTCATCGGTTGCATCTCGTCCTCATCCTCAATCATTTCAAACTCGTAGTCGTCGTGCACAGTGGTGCGACGACGCTTGATTCTCTGCAACTGGAAATAGATACCCAACCCAATGAAGAAGGTAATGATCATGGCGAAGGATGCATAAATCCAAATCTGGGTACGCTTCGAAGCACCAAAAGTGGGAAGCCAAGAGGATATATAGCCTGAGTCAGCGGAGGAAGGGGAGGAGGTTTCAGCTTCACTACTGGTAGCGTTGGTGGGCGTCTTCACATCTTCAATTGGGGTGGGATTTGTGAGTGTTGGCTTTGGCTTTGCGTTCACAGGCCGGTCATGATGGTCATCCGGGTTGGCAGGGGCTGCGGTCTTTGTTGGAGCCGGCGTGATGATAGTTGTGGCTACAGGAGCATCCTCGTAAGGATGATCGTCGTCATGCTCATCGGGTAGGGGGTGGAGTTGTTGTTTAGCTCCGTCGACGGCCTCACCCCACAGATTGAGTCGCCAATCAATGAATGTGCCGGAGTGTTCATTGACATCGGAATCTTTCACGATGATAGACCACTCGCCAATGGCAGATTCACCCCTAAGAGTGAATTAGAAAATATATCACGGAGTTGAAAGGACAACACATACCAATGGGCAACAGACATGAAAGTCCAATCCTCATACCCAACTGCCATATTGTCCCTTTCGCGGGCAACACTCAGGTAGCTGACGATTCCAGCAGGGCTGTGCAGCTCAACGCTGATATCGCCACGGCGGGTGTGGTTGACATTCATAGTCACAGTGACATGTTCCAATTTGGCGACGTTGGCCTCCTTCAATTGGTCAGCAGTTACTGTATAGCGACTGAGCAGACCCCGATCACCCTGGGGAATGTCTTGATGCACTCGGAGCCATGGCGAGTGGAACCACGCTTGTGGTTTCACAAGATCCCAAGTCTTAGCCAGCTGGACCATGGTATATGTATCAACCTTCCCAAAGCCCCAGTCATGGCTGAACTTGCGGCCAGAGGGTAGGACCTGCCAGCTACCGTCGTTCTCGCTCACCGGGATTGCCGTCTCCACCATCAAGTATTGTAGATCACGCCAGGTCAGTTCGGGGCGTGCGCTGAGCGCAAGCGCCACGCTGCCTGCGGCCAGCGGACCAGCCGCAGAGGTGCCGCCATGCCCAGAGAAGCACTTGTTCGCACCCACGTCGGTAGTATGAATATAATCACCGGAACCACTACTGTATGCGACCACAAGTTGGGCCGAGCATGACTCGGAGTAAGAAGGGTGCTTTCCCTCCCGGTCAATGGCACCGACTGTAATACTGTAGATACTGTTGGTATACCCGTCGAAGTTGCAATTGTCCCCGAAAGCTGCACCGTTGCCGGCGGCAAAGACATAGACAGAGCCTTTACCCCCTCTGCCTTTTTGGATGCCGTTGGCCATGGCTCGCTTGATCAAAATTCCAGGCGCATCCATAGTAGCACCATCGTCGATGGGGCCCCATGAACATGAATATATGTCATTTTTTTGGTAGGCATAGTTGATAGCTGCCGCTTCATCGACATCATCGATAGGTTTGGATAAGATCCGGATGCCAGCTATCTTGCTATCGTATGCAACACCGACTCCACAAACGTCGTTCTTTGCCGCCGCGATCTCGCCGCAGCATCGAGTACCATGCTTGTCATCAAGTAACAGAGGTCGGGGTTCCGGGAGTCCCTCGTTGAAATCCCAAGAGCCCTCTGGGAGGTAGTTGGGCTTGAGATCATTACTATCCATGTCCAACCCATCATCGACAACTGCAGTGGCGACGCCCTTGCCGGTTATCCCCTCCAACCACAATCCCGTCACATTGAGATCGTGTCCGGGCTGCAACGTGTTGACAAGGTGCCATTGTTCTCTGAAGATTGGGTCAGTGATCCCTAGAGATGACATGGCCTTCTTCTGGACAGCAACAGCCTGCGCATTTTCCCTCTTGTCCAGCGATTTGTAGGGCACGGAGACCGGCGGAAGTCGTTTCTGCAATCGCTGTCTTGCTGGAGCAATCTTATGCGACCACAGGATCTTGTCTAAGGGATCATCACTTGTTTCACGCGAATCGATTCCACCACCTGAACGCCGCCGGAGCTTTCGCCGTGTCCGTAAATCCTTCAATAAGGTGTCAAACTGAGCCGTCTGTTCCCGGGGCAATGAAAAGGTGTGGTGACCATCCAGTTGACCAATCTGGCCCTCGTGGCGTGCGCCGAGAACCTGTGCGATGTGGGAGGGAGAGGCGGTGTTGTCGAGGTGGAGGGCGAAGAAGTCGCGGGTTTCTTGAGAGCGAGGATGGAGGTTTGCGGACACTGCACCAGCAAGGCCCAGGGTGGCGGTGATGCCACTTACAATGCGCATGATGAGGAAACAATTGTTTTCGGTCGAGAAAAGGGATTAAGGGAGGGTTATGAGGTTCAAAGTACCTAACATGCGGTTGCCATCGATAGTTCCGGACCGTTGAATAGCAACTCGATAAGTTGTGGTAAGGGGTGTAGACGGACACAAAGGAAATAAGCTCCAAGATGCTATTTCCGAGGTTTCAATAAGAGAGTTGTGAAGAGGAGGTTGTAACAATGCAAGACATCAGATTCTAGGCAAATAGGAGGATCGTCAAGAGGCCACCCACACGGGATCCTATTGAGCCTCCGGACCGGTCTATTGAGCTCGACTCGGTTTACTCGGACACTATGAGCCTCTTTCTTTATAAATTATGAAAGCAGGATCGAAGAGTGTTAAGGCCACGGTTTCTACTCCACTTTGGAATTTTGTAGTTATTATTACATTACTTACCTAGCCACTAGCCTAGGTGTCTACAACATCGTCTTAGCCTGCGTAGGTCCAACCTTGGGCATACGGGCACACGTAGCAACATATGCGAACGGTTGGCACAAAAGGTACAACATACATGATAATTTACAACTTGACTAAGTTGTGGTTAGTATCTGTTCGTCCATCAATCATTTAGATCAACTGCAAGAATCGAATAGTTCTAGTCCTTGCATAAACATGGCCTTGATGGCTTTCTATGTTGTATATTCATGTTTAACGCCTCTTGCCGCTTTAGTCTGGGTAGAATTGAGCACGGTCTGTACGGAGGAGTTAAAAATGTGGTTGGGGCTCCGGACTGAATTTTACTTCGTGACTGAGCGGGCTTAAAAGCGGCACCTGAAAAGCAATACCTAAAACAACAGGACATCAAGCTACTTACGGAGGGCTAGTAGTAGATATGACTTCGATATGACTTCGATTTCCATGTTCTACAACATAGGTAACTCTGATTCTTAGTCTAGGTATTTGAAACATGCTCGGATTTCGTAGGTAAAAAAGTATACAGTTCTAACATTAGCTCATTCCAATACAACCATCCTCATTTCAGATTAAGAATTCGGCTTAATTTTACATGTTCTAGACTTCCACCTTTATGTCGCTCTTTGGTCTTTCAGATTGATCCTAACATCGAATAATCGTGCACAACTATTGCTTCTCTTGGAATCAAAGTCCTTGATAAAGCTTTCGTATGACAATGGCCCCGCGCGAGGGCTGGGAGCAACCAGCCACCGGGATATCGGATGTATAGACCTTGCCTGGTAAATTTTTTTTTTGGGGGGTTTGCTGGACTTGATTGAAATCTTTCTCTTCCATCTCTTCTCATCTTCTACTATCCCATTGACACCCCTATCCTAGTGACCTGTTTGCCTTTTTCATACCGGCCAACTTCCCTGTCACCGCCGCGTGAACTTATACCCCCCGCAACTTGGCTTGTTGCCTGCGAATCAGCTTAGGCCATGGTATGGTGACCCTGCGTTAGGCATCAGATCAATTTGCATTGAACCCGTTTCATCGATTTCGAAAAAAACCAAGTACAACAATTTCCCCTAAATCTGCTTGGGCTGCCTTCGGGACCGACATTAACGACATTGGTTCCAGTTGGGTTCGCAATTGCACGTGCCTGGCACCCTATCGACGCAATTTTCTTTTTCGATTATTTTCTTGAGCTTGGGCGCAAACACCAAAAATCATGGCTGCTATGGCAATGCGTGGATCACCCGATATAGCAAACGGCAGCTCCCACCCCCACATTGCTAACGGAGCGCAAAGAGCTCCAGGAAAGCGCAATCGAAAAAAGGCTCCTACGGAAAGCTACGAGCACGAGGCAGAATCCGATAATACGAACATAGCTCACACCAGCGGAAGAGATGCCCATTCGTCGGCAGGGCGGGTAGGCAGGTCTTTCTCGACCAGAGCCCGAGATCAGCCCGAGGGAAATCTGAACTATACAACCCACAAGCCGATTCCTCCATTGACCTCAGAATTCTCAGAAGAATCTACCACACCGCGAGGTCTTCCCACAGGACCACACTCCCCAGAACCCCGTGCAGATATGCCCGAGATCCTTGCACAGTCACCGTCGCCTGCACCGGGTGTGTCTTCGACCCCGACTCGGTCTAACACCACACGCTCGGTCTCCGCCAGGGAATCGCAGCGAGATTGGGCATCAGAGCGATCGCCTCTTCAGAAGTTGGAAGTTACTTTGACTGGAATCAGCAAGGAAGAGAAGCGGGCACGAGTACAACAGGCGGAAGTCAAAGCTCGAGAGCGACTTGCGCGCAAGAAAGCCGAACAAGAGAAAGCCAAATTGATGGAAACAATGGCTCGCGAAGCATCAGCACAACGTACGCAGCCAGAAATCCAACCAGCCTCCGGCGCAGCCAGAAGGAAGGAGCGAAGAGATATTCAAATTCGAGAGGTCGTGCAAAATGGACATGGGGGTGCACCACCACAACAGCGCCAACCAGAAAACACAGTTGTGCGTCACAAAAGGACAGTTTCAACAGATCCTCAATATCCATCCATCCGCCGCCCCGAGGATCCCCAATTTATACGCGCGGAAGCCGCTATCCCATCATCAGCTAAGATAGGCAATGTACCTAGAAGATCAGTCACAGTGAGCGGACCTGCCGCGAAACCAACATCTGCCAACCATATCAGCCACAGTCGCTCGATGTCTCAAGCAGGTCCTCGACCTATCCAGGCTCCCCTTGCCCTAAGAGCGGAGACAACGTACGAACTTTTGACAGCACCCCGTGCAATTCAGGATAGTGCTGAGTCGCAGATCAAGCCCAAGAAGCACTCTGTGTCTTTCAATGTCCCACCGCCTACGCCCCCACCTATCTTTGAGTGGAGGAATGCAATGCCTGCTCGGCTTGCGGCACCTGACTTTGATTTCCAGAATTTTGATTTGGATCGTAGCAAAGCGTGGTGGGACGGTGGCGGTAGCAAAGATCGTAGAAAGAGCAGGGCCCTTCCTAAGAATTACAAATCTCCTGCTCAGAAATTGACAGGTAAGATCTTCCGTTATCCTCGTTTCAAGTTATCCTTCTTGTCATAAGATCATGATTTGCATTTACTAACGCCCACTAGGAGCGACTGAGCACAAGAACTTCCAACCCAACCTCTTCTTGCGATGTGGACCTTTGCTACGATACACAGGTATCAAGCGAGTTAAGGTTGATGGAGCCAGCGGCCCAATTATCAAGGACATATGGCGAGGATCTATCATGATAGTGACTAAAGATTCTAGCTCCTTCTACGACACTCCGCCCACACTGAGACTATTCTCCCAGCCGATGGATCTTCTTCCTCCGCCGCCAGTGGAGATCAGCCATGAAGATGGAATGCAACTGGCTCCCGAATATGTCGACCCAACGGCCGGGCTGATGAAAGTTGGCCGTGATGGGCGGCCCCTTTATGTGAAACCAGTTGAAGATGTCGATGAACAAGTCGACCTATCGTCTGTCGAGAACGACGATGGTATCTACGAGCTCTCACCTAGCATAGTCGATTATACTAGCGAAGGCGTTAAACAACCTATGCCTTCCAACCGGATGCATGCCGTTGACGGCGAGACGGCGAGTCTGCACCGAGATATCCCCGGAGCCCGGCTGTACGCCGATGTCGCAAGAGATGTCACATTCTGGCGATTCAACCTCGAGGTTGAACTTAGCACAGTGCAGCAGCGAATCGCCTATCGAATCAACCAGGGACCCGCCTTGGGATTTTGGGTGCCCCCGGCTGGAGAATCCATGAACATAATGTTTTACAGCGGTAACGGGTTCAGCCCCTCGGCGGACTCTCATCGAGTCTGCGGGCCCGACCCGCTTTGGCGAGATATTCTTAATGAGCATCAAACTCGTCCGTTCCATGTGATGATCGGTGGAGGCGACCAAATCTTCAACGACTCGGGTATCACAGAGTCGACATTCTTCCAAGAATGGTTTAAGATTAAAAACGCTGCCGAGAGATATGGTGCGTCATTCACACCTGAGTTCCGGGCTGAATTAGAGCAGTTCTACCTCGAGCGCTATGCTTCATGGTTCTCCCAGGGCCTCTTCTCGTTGGCGAACTCTCAGATTCCCATGGTCAACATTTGGAACGATCATGAAATTTTTGAAGGCTTTGGTTCTTACCACGATGATTTCATGCAGACTTCTGTCATCTCTGGAATTGGAAAAATTGCTTTCAAGTATTACCTGTTGTTCCAGCACCACAGTGTTCCCGATGAAACAGAAGCAGATGAACCCAGCTGGCTCCTTGGCGCCCACCCTGGTCCATACATTGAGCAGAAAAGTCGAAATCTGTTCATGTCTCTTGGGCAAGGACTTTCATTCTTGGGTCTTGACTGCCGTACTGAGCGGCGGGTATGATTGCTCTAATTTCCGACTAGCGGACTTTGCTAACATGTTCTTGCAGAGCAATGAGGTTCTCAGCGAAGACACCTGTGATTTAATATGGGACCGTTGTCACAACGAGATTATGAAAGGAGAGACAAAGCATTTGATCGTTCTTTCAAGTGTACCTGTTGCTTACCCCCGAGTGGTACGTCACCTGCTTTCTTCAGTCTTTGATCCAACCCCCAACTCAACTTGATTCCAGGCAATGCTCCGCAATTTCATGAACAGCCGCAAGTCACTCGGCAAGGCCGGAGTACTTGGTGGGCTTGTAAATCGATCTGGTGGAAATGTGGAGGTCTTTGATGACCATTGGGCTGGCAAGCACCTCAAGTCCGAGCGCACATGGTTGGTTGAAGATCTTCAGGACCTGGCCGCAGAGAAGTCAGTCCGGATCACAATTCTCAGGTAAGACCAGGCAATTTGCTTAACGGCAACCCAGATTTCAAACGATCTAAGCTAACTTGAGCCTTTAGTGGTGATGTCCATCTTGCTGCAATTGGGCAGTTTTATTCGAATCCCAAATTGAATGTTGCCAAAGACCAGGATTACCGATACATGCCGAATGTCATCTCGTCTGCTATTGCAGACATTCCGGAGACCGATATCATTGCTGACATGCTCAACAAGCGAAATACAATCCACCACATGGACTCGAACACGGACGAGGACGTCGTCCCCATCTTTGTCCAGGATGTAAATGGCAAGGTCCGAAACAACAAAAGATTACTACCTCGGCGAAACTGGTGTTCGATCCGCACATATAAGCCTGGATCGACTCCACCTGATACACCTGAGTCAGATATGACAGAGACTCCCCCACCTCGGCCAAACAAGCTGCAGCGGACATTGTCGCTGGGTCGTGCGGACAAGGGGTCTACCGAGAAACCTGGTATTCTCAGGCGCCTTTCCACCCGTGGACCACCTCCTACGAGGACCATGAGTTTCAATCGAGGCGACGAGACTGCTTTCAGTCGACGTGCAAGTGTTGATGGGTTCGCTCAGCCCCCCGAGAACGGGAACAGTTATTTTCCAGGGAACGGGGCCGGTGCACCTCCACGACCCGGTAACTTCCACCGGCGACCGACGAATCTCAGCCAAAAAACGGCGAAGAAAACCGCCAAGCAAGGCGATGATGGTGCAGGCGTCTACATCAATCTCGAAGGCGGGCTCGCCATTACTTTGAACCTAGAGATCAGCTCACAAGACCCATCGGGTGTCACCACACCTTACAAACTGCTCGTTCCAGCACTGCACTACAACGGGACCGAGTATGACCCGCCCCCAGCGCAGATTGTCAAGGGCTGGAGAAAGTTCCTACCCCGCCGCAAAAAGCACGTAGGGGAAGCCGATGCACAGCCTGATGCAGAAGAAGATTATAGTGATGACGACGAAGAAGACGATCACGAGGACCATGACCTTATCAATAACACCCGCGCTAACGCCGCCACTAGCCAACAACATCAACCACCGGATGAGGGATATCCTGGGAGTGAAGAGGAGGATGACGATTCCGAGGGCGAATTCCCTCAACGTCTGCCACCGAATATGATGGCTGAACATTCCCCCAGTCCCGAGGAGCACACCCGTCCACGAAAGAAGTGGTTTGGTGTAATCTAATGTATCATATTGACACCATTGTGCCATTGACAATGGCTGATGACAATTTCTGATTTGCGATCTGATGATTTGTATGGATCTTTTTTATGACTTGAGCATGATGGTGTTTTGTGTTTGACATTTGATTCCCCAAATTCCGGCGAGGTTCAAACTGACATACGTTCATTCTATCAAAAGATCTCTCAAGTAAAGCCGAAGTACGGAGTACGGAGTAAACCAATTCGGGCCGGAAGAAGCGGTGGGCGTTGTCATTCAGGGGGATCCGATGAGATTACATCAGCGGTCTCGGCCTCTCACGTGGCATCTGCTTAGAAAGCCCAGGAGCCTCGATGCTCAACCTGATTCAGCCCACTTGAATTTGAATTCGCCTCAAATCGCCTAGTTCAAACAAATCATCTCTAATCCAGTGTGGTCTGGAAAACTCGGAAAGAAAAAGAATCCAATCGCATTCTGTTTTGAGGGTCCAGTCTCTCTGGACACTTTACCGGTTTATCAATCAACTTCACCCATCACCTAATAATCCCGGTCTCCACTGCCCCTCTTGAGAAAAGATATTATAACTCCCTTCCCTCTCCTCTTCCTCCTCCACTTCCCAGAACTACCTTCAAGCTGTTTTCCTCCGCCTTTCGTCGTTTCCCCTCTCTTCTATCCATTGGATTGACTGCCACTGCGGCCACTACTGTTCACCAACAATCTCCTCCTTCGGCCTCGGTCCTCTTTAAGTCGTTTCCGACGCCCTTGCGCGTCAATTCCAATACTGCCAGAATGGTGCACTCTAAAGTAGTCAGTAAGTGATTTCTTGAGGGGCTTGAATGATTCGGATCATCTCAAGATCAGAGTTCTAACCAATTTCCCCCCAACAGTTATCGGCTCCGGCCCCGGTGCCCACACTGCCGCTATCTATCTCTCCCGCGCAGAGCTCCAACCAGTTCTCTACGAGGGCATGCTCGCCAACGGCACCGCCGCTGGTGGTCAGCTCACAACGACCACTGACGTCGAGAACTTCCCCGGATTCCCCAACGGTATCGGTGGTGCCGAGCTTATGGACAACATGCGCGCACAGTCCGAGCGCTTCGGCACCGAGATCATCACTGAGACCATCTCCAGACTTGACCTCTCCTCCCGGCCATTCAAGATGTGGACCGAGTGGAACGACGATGAGGGCAGCGAGCCCGTTCGCACCGCTGACGCCGTCATCATTGCCACAGGTGCCAACGCCCGCCGTCTGAACCTCCCCGGCGAGGAGACCTACTGGCAGAACGGAATCAGTGCCTGTGCTGTCTGCGATGGTGCCGTGCCCATTTTCCGTAACAAGCCTCTCTACGTCATTGGCGGTGGTGACTCCGCCGCCGAAGAGGCCATGTTCCTCGCCAAGTATGGTAGCAGTGTCACTGTTCTTGTTCGCAAGGACAAGCTCCGTGCCTCTAAGGTCATGGCCGACCGTCTTCTTGCACACCCCAAATGCAAGGTCCGCTTCAACACTGTTGCCACCGAGGTTATCGGTGAGAGCAAGCCCAACGGCCTCATGACCCACCTCCGTGTCAAGGACGTTGTCTCTAACACCGAGGAGGTCGTTGAAGCTAACGGTCTTTTCTACGCCGTTGGTCACGACCCCGCCAACTCTCTCGTTAAAGGTCAGGTTGAGCTCGATGACGAGGGATACATCGTCACCAAGCCCGGTACCAGCTTCACCAACATCGAGGGTGTCTTCGCCTGCGGTGATGTTCAGGATAAACGTTACCGCCAGGCCATCACCAGTGCCGGTACGTTCATACTCCGGTTTTTTGGTTTTGATAATTGTTCGCTAACTCAAAATTTTTCCAGGATCTGGCTGTGTCGCCGCCCTCGAGGCTGAGAAGTTCCTGTCCGAGACCGAGACACACGAGGAGGCCAAGCCTGCACTCTAAATAAACATATACCTCTCTCCTACCTTTGCGTCCTACTTCTCGATCTGACATGAAAAAATATTTGGCCCGTGCATCGAGGATTCTTCTTGTTTCCAGACTTGTGCCTGTTTTGTGCGATTTCTCATTTAAAAATTCCCCGCAAATGTCTTGTTTTTGTTCCCTGTACCTTTTACCCATGTCTTGCGGAAGAGGAAATCAAGTGGTCTTCATGCTTTAATATCAGTTGGTCTGCTTGGGATACCTATACCCATAGAGATAGAAATAGAAAGAAAGAAGCTCACATATCATCTTCCGCTTTTCAAGGTTCTCGTATGGATCTATACAAGACAGCCTGTTTGAACAAAAATTGCCATTCATTGATATCAATAACGCTGAAACAAAACCAATCAGAAATAGTCTCTCCACAGAGATGAGTTGCCTTCTTTTCCCGAACTGCCCACGCAGATAGTCTACCCACCTGCATAAAACACCGATAAATGCTCATTTCTCGGACTTGACAGCAGGGACAGCATTTGTAAAAGCAGTAGCAAGTACAGGCACCAACGGCACATTCTCAGCAAGATACTCCGGCATTACCCAATCATCAAACGGATTCTCCGCACACCAGCGATCCTTGACGATGAAAGTCTTCCGCTCCCACTCAGCAACCTCAGCTTTCCACTTATCCCAGGCATCGGCATTCGCCCGACGGTTAATCTCCGTCTGCTCGAGGTAGGGCGCTTTGTCAGCTGGCGTTGCAGAGCGCCACATCTGGCCTAATGCAGCGCGGATATCGTCGCGTGGAGCCTTTGCGCTGGTGTTGTTTGATGCTGCGCGGCGGGCTTCGTCGCATTTGTCGCGGCAGCGAGCCCAGTAGTCCTTTTGGTAGAAGAGGAAGGGGTTTAGGCCTGATTTTGCGGGACGCGGTGGTGCGGATCCGAGTTCGGCGTAGATGGTTGTCCATAGGGCTTGGTCGTAGGCGTCGCGGCGGGATTTTTCCGTTGAGGTTGGTTTGCGAGAGGTGGAGGTTGAGGGAGGCTTTTGTTGGGTGATTGTAGGGCTTTCGGTGGAGGAGAGGGATGAGCTGCCTCTTGTTCTTGTCTTCTTGGTGCTTGCGCCGTTTGGCGTGGAGGATTTGCTTCTAGTTACTTTTGATTTCTCCGGGACTAGGGGATGAGGCATTATGATGGGTCCGGATATCGGCTCGATTATCTCTGATGCTGCGCGAAGACCTGAGAGGTATGCTCCATGAACGGTTGCTGGATGGGTGCCGCAGGTGGCCTCGCCGGCGAAGTGGAGATTGCCGATAGACCGGGCCATTAGGTCGTAGTCGTCTGGAAAAGCCTCTGCGGCCACATAGGAGTAGCTGCCGTATGTGAATGGGTCCTGGCCCCAACGGGTGATGATAGTCTCCAGAGGATCGGAAACTGTAGTGTGTTTGAAGACGTTTCTGAGTTGGCCAGTGACCTCCGTAATTATTTCGTCGTCACTTGTAGATTCTGCTTGGTGGGCTGCATCACCAGCCATGAGGGCAATCAAGCATGGGAGTCCAGTAGTCTTCATGGCATTCCAGAATAGATAGAATCGACCGCGGTTTGCTGCATAGTCTTCTTGGACCATGGAAGCAGGGTTATTGGGCTCCCGAAGTAGGCCAAACATATCTCGCTTGGTGTCCCAGAATGGCTCTTCGAACACTAAAATGACCTTGTTCATTATTCCGAATCCCAGTCTGTCAATTGCGCCACGCTTCCAGTCCGGAAGAGGAGGCTCGAACTTGATTTTCTGCTGCTTCAGGACACCGAGGGAACCGGTGAAGACGACATGATCTGCCAGGAACTTTTCTCCATCCTCGCACTGAACAACTGCATTCTGTTTCTTGTTAGATTCAGTTGTGTCGTAAGAGATATTCGTGACAATCTTGCCAGTGCGGACGTCGAGCTTCTCTGGCAGCATGTACAGCCCGTAGGGTAGTTGCTGGTAGCCACCAATGACTTGGGAATGTTCTCCCTCGAACTCGTTTCCGATGTCCTGGTCCCATCCCGATAGGCTAAGTCTGTTCACATTAGTTGCATTGGCATATTCGAGGTTGGCGAAATGCCAATTCATCAACCGCATGTCCTTCGTTGTCACTGGGAGCATGTCTCGATATTGTTTGACACCCTCGTCCATCACAGCACCTAGTGTCTGCGCCTGAGATGCCTTGGCAATCTGGCCCAGTTCAATAGTGTTATTAACGGTGTATCCTGGGTTAAGCTTCCACCCAGTTGTCTGGCAGGTCAATGCTGCCGGGTCATCTTCCGAATTCCCCGCCAGATCACTCGCCACATCAACGGATGGCTCATTTTCCGCAGTCTTGTGCTTTATTCCTCGTCGGACTCGCTTTGTGGGGACCAATAGATCTATTGTCCCAGCTGCCCTCGCCTCTTCGTACTGTCGCACAGTGAGTCCGTCATCCACCGCCGATTCGCGACCAGCATCGATCATCTCGCGGTTTCCCTGTGCGGTAGGCACGATCTTTGCTTTGTGACGATAGAATCCGGTTCGATCGAGCAAGTCATTGTAGAGCTTTTCTGCCATCGCGTCTTGAATCTCGTTCACAGGTGATCCATCAACATCGTAAATCGTCGACACATCCCGTATCTTGTGATAGTGAAGTGACAGCTGGCCACGAACGATCTGGTCCAGCGGGTTGCCATGATCGAAGCCGACAATGATCTGAGCACCCATTTCCGCCTTTGGAACAAGACCATCAGGTAGGCTTTCAGACGTTAGACTGTGCAACGGATGTGAATAAATGCGTCCACCGACTCTTCGACGTCCCTCGAGGAGGATGACTCGTGGCAAGGCACTAGAATCACGATACTGGCGAAAAAGACTCTCCAATTGACGTGCACATCCAAGACCTGCCATTCCAGCACCGATTATAACAATTGTAGGACCTTCTTTTCGTCTTCCACGTTTGGGTTTCACCGGGGCCAGTGGAGCATCCATGCAACCATGATTGATGTAGCCATTTCGTGCGAGCCAGTCGTAAGCAAAGCAAGCCAGGTTCATCCAACGGTAATCTTTGGCACACCCGAGCGCTTCTTCCCTGGTGACAGCCACCATGGGATTTCTCCCCCAGAGTAGCAGTATTCCATTTCGTATGTTGAGATAAATTGTCACGTGAACGTGACAAAGGTGGTCTTGTAAGAAATCTTGTTCTTGTCGGTGGAGAGCATACGGGTTCAGCCGTGATGCATACGCTGCTCTAACACACTGCTCGCCGTAAACAGAAGGGTGGATTTTAGATGGGATGGACGATCGAGGTCGACATTTAGACAAATCAACTTTCCCACTGTCCAACACGTTCGGTCCAAAGGTAATTGACCGCGTAGACCGCGTAGGGTGAGACGGTAGGGGATCGGGGGGAGGTGACACAGATGCTTTTAATTCAAAGGAAGATGTCAAATCGGTTGAGGTTATCGACTCATTCGGGGTACTACTGCTGCCAACAGCATACAACCTCTCTGCTGAACCAACAAAATGGGATCCATCAGATAAGAAACTCTGCGATTTGGGGTTGTTGTATTCTAGATTTCCCAACGCAATTGACGCTGAAGCTGTTTCGTAAGCCTTGTGTGTGATGCGCAGTCTCTTCGTAGGAGGTCCAGATAGTTCAGTCGGTTCAGATAGAAGGATATCTTGCCCCTGCACTGTGATCTCAGGATTTGGGACATATTGATTCATGTATGATTCTTGATCCGGGCGGATTTCGGCCGCCTGTAACCTCATGGACGCTGCGCCATACATTTTGATACACGGGTATCTGCAGGTAGATCTTCAAAAGAGTGTGTCGAGAACGACAGAAAGAGAAAAGAAAGAAAATTCCACGTCAACAAAGACGTAAACTGTGAACTCGAAGATGTGATGTCGGCAGTCCTTTCTATCCCGAGAATGTGTGGATATCAAATGTTCAGGCGTTCACCCATGACATGGCCATAGGAATACGAGCTGTGGCAAGCCGAAGGAACACGGACTGAATGAATGAATGAACTAGGATTAAGTTAGATGAGATGTAATATGGTAAAATAGACCAGGGAGTATGAGAGAAATGATCTGTGAGGACCAAGGAAGCACGGATATCAGGACATACATCGAGTTTCAACCCCACAAAAAACCTCCGAACGAATTGAGAAGACCACCCATCAAATAGAGCAGGGGATTCTATTTCTTCAAGGGGAGTTAAACCGAACTGTAATTGAATTATGAAACTTGATGGAAGGGATAGTGATGACCAGAATAGAAAAACCCTTGTGGCTTGATTCCTCGGAGCGGGGCGTATTTCTCAGTCCGGCAGGTTGCGGCACCGAAGTTCGTCAACGCTCAAGGGCTGCCACTTTATATTTCTTCACTTCATAAGATCAGGATCTACTTCGTTTATTTGGGTTATCTAATTTTGAACATGAGTGTGCAGACTATATGTTTCATCCTCCCCTGCGAATCCATCAGAGTCATTATCGGTGAACTCATCGCGATATGATCTCCTGGTCGATTTTTTCCAAGGCCCCGGTTGCTCACTGTCACTGTCATCACCCAAGATCAGGTCAACATTGTCATCGTCCAAATCAGTGAATCCAATTCGCTCCTCTTCGTCTCGTGCAAGCGTAGTAGAGGCTTTGTTCATATCAGGATCTTCCGAAAACCCACGATGAGGGCGGTGCGCCGCATGATCAGCTTGGAGAGAATCTCGGATATCTGCACGCTCTTGGGCTTCGAGCTCTTTTGCGCGAGCCAAAGTTCTTAAAGAATGGGATTAGCAAGAGTGCATATGTTATTACCGACAGATGAATTTGAGGGCTCAAACCTTTGGTATATGTACCACCCGGTAAAGATTCCGACACTGACTGTAAGAATAATACTGCAGATGTTCACAGCTTTGGATCCTACGCTCATTTCCTCGCCCTTCTCGGAAAGCAGACGAATCCGACTACCGATGAACGCAGGAACCAACAATTTGGGAGAGATGATGGCCGTCGCAAGTCCATACATTAATGGCTGCACTGTAGGAAATGTTGACACAGCTCCGTTACAGATCGAGTAGGGCAGCGGGCATAAACGGATCATACAAAGAAGTTTGATGCCATCGTACTTTAATGTCAGGGCCAACGCAGCGAACCTCTTATCATGTTCCATAAGGCGTTTGACGAATCCAGACAGGATTGTCCGTGAAACATAAAACGAGACAGTCGACCCAAGAATTGTTGCGGAAGCGTAGATCAACCATCTATAGAAAAAAAATCGAGTTAGCCTTCTTTATCATTGTTTTCGAAGGTCAAATGGAGTAACCTGAAGCTGTTTCTTACCCTTTCCACACACCAAATACAAAACCAGCCACAGTCCCAAATGTAGACCAACCCACAAGAGGCGGAAATGAGACGAAAAAGACACACAGCCACAGGATGAAGGCGGCTAGCCAGGATTTTTCCCACTTCTCAGCGACCGGGCCAAGCCAGATGAACAGCTTCCCAGTTAATACCAAGAACGCAATACCGGATATGCCGACGAATAAAGCAGCGCAAATCGTTCCGATTTTTTTCAACAAAGTCATCTCCTCCCAGATTGTAATCAAACGGACATATAGTTCTGTACCACGCTGGATTATCTGTTCGCGATAGCTTGTATTCTGCTCGCTCGACCGACCGGAGCTTCGCCTGCTGGCGCGACTCCAGGGCGGGTGAGCATCACTGCTAGGAGAAGGTGTGGGATCCGGAGAAGAGGATGAAAGAGACAATGCCCTGGCTGTAGATTGGTAGTCCGCAGGCATTGTGAAAATTGTATGGTCCCGGGGTATCAATAGTTTGGTAGGAGGGTGGTCGAATCGGGGGAGGGGGGGGGGAGATGAACCGCTATTAAACAGTGACCAGCAGGAAGTGCGATACCGAGGTCAATTGATGAATATCCAAAGAAATTTCAAGGGCGTGTCAAGGCCCTGATAGTTGGACCGAGCATGGAGGGGAAACCAAGCACTTTTGGGCTGAAAATCAGGTTGACCCTAAAAGTCCAGGTTGCAAGTAAGCGGATCCTCCGGTCTCAAGCTCGGGAGTGCCCAGGTGTTGATCTACAACCCCAGAACTGTTGTTCAGATTCTTTTATGCTGTTTATAAACTGATTATGCATAATTCAATTCTTAAAATACAAAAACTAGTACCAATCTATGTCCTCTGATGTTGGAAATTGCTGACGATTCTGTCAAAGTACAGCTAACCCCTGGTGCATGAATCTTCCTTTTTGTTTTTTTTTTCTCTTTGTATATTTAGTTATTATGGGTAGTATAGCAATTCTATTTTGCACATACCTATTAAATTTAAAATCATCATGTTATAAGTAATGAATTCCACGTATGTAGGTACCTTCGTGTCACTTGAAGCTCAGCCGATAAGCTGTTGTGCCCCAGTGTTGATCTCCTTCTCCGCCTCCCCCCTCTTTGTCACTTCACCCTTTATTCAACTTTCATTCACAAACGTCGATCGGCGGCGATGCAATGTTATTATTTGCTTGCTCTTTATCACTCTCTCAACCTCGATCATCTTGTGTTATAAATTTGAACCTAACCCTTCACCACTAGGGTGTTTACCCGATCACCTTCGTCCGCGCGTATAACCCATATCAGCATACACCATGATTCCCGACGAGCTTCTTGAAAAATGTCTCCAGATCCTGCAGGATCAGGCACTGGATGAAGAAGAGCAGGTGGAGAAAGTGGAAGACTTCTTGCGCGCAAACACATCCTTGACGGGTGTACCCTTGGAGAATGTGGTATTGGATATCCTCTGGCGCCATCGCAACCGAAACTTGCCAGACGCATCGCCTCCAGCCCGTCACACCGTGATTCGTCGCTCATCGCCTGCACCATGGCAGATGGTTCGATCATCCACACCACTATCCCCTCATTCGACGTTGGGAACAAGCCCTGGAAGTTCCTCGTGGGTGCAAAGCTCTCGCGGGCCATTCGCGCGGCCTCCGCTATCTTCTACTGTCTCTCCATTTACCTCTCCACGCCCATCGCCTCGGCTTGCTCTTGCGCAGCCTATCCCGCATTCCCCAAATCTAAACGCCTATGAATTCTCGGACCAAAGCCAGATTTCTGACTTCTATGGAGACCTTGGGGGCGACAACAATGTTGACTGGCTAGTCGCAGATGATGCCAACAGTACAACCTCGTCTGCGGGCGGTCTCAGCACCCCCGGGACACTCAGCGCTACCGCAGTTGAATTTGTTCCAGACATGAGCCCACATGATATCCTGCGCACGGTGCTGGGCGACAAGCGATCAAACAATGAGATAGAAGCTGCGCTGGAGGCCAACAGTTATGATCTTGGTGCCACCATTGCTTCGCTCTCGCAGGAGATAGAATCTGAGGCGATTGCAAAACAACACGAGGACGGCCGTGTTTTGGTTGGCAAGTCCATGACGATGGAGCAATTACGCCCAGTCACACCATTGGGTAGCAGTCGCAGCCCTGTGGTCTGTAAATACTGGTTGTCTACTGGACAATGCCTCCGAGCGGACTGTCGTTTCAGCCATGACCTGACCACACATGTGTGCAAGTGAGTGTTTTAAACATTCTGGATAAACCAATCGTCCTTGGGCTAACAAATGTGAATAGATATTGGGTTATGGGAAATTGTCTAGCTGGTGATGGATGTCCCTTCTCACACGATCCGTCAGCGCTTATCGGCAATCTCAGTGTCACGGACAGTAGTCGACCAGCTTCGCCCTCCCTGTTCCAGGTAGACAGCGGTTCTGATGCATTCCCGCCCCTGCAAGCGGCAGATAACGGTGACCAATGGCCAAATCAGTACACAGGACGTTACCCTTCCCATCTTTCTGCTTATCAAGCCAGCAAATATGCGCCTCCCGGCCTCCTTCCTGGAGTGGGAAAAAGAAATGGAAGCGCAACTCATCTCGGGCGCCCGAGCTCCCGTCCATCTAGCCGCCACCAGAATCGGGAGTTGAATCCTGCTGCACCATCTGTAGACGATCCAGATGCCTTTCCAACTCTTGCCGCGGTCAATGCGAAGAATGTTGGGAAAAAGCATCATGGGAAACGGGGCGGTCATAATAACCGCGAGACCAGTATGGGCAAAGATAGCTTCCCTTCATCTCTGGCAGATGTTGTTCGAATGACCCCGTCTCCTGTTCCCGGAAAAACCAAATCTGCCTCCAAAAACAAAGACACGAAGGGTCGCGAGAACAGTGCTGCAGCTCAGTCGATTCCACCCCCGCAAAACATTCCCTGGCTGGAGACAGGTACACGGGCCAATCAACAATACATCAAATACCGGACAGAGGCTATTCGGCACGGCACTGTGCGAAACAAGTTCCTCCAGAGGTAAGCTTTCAGCGAGTAAAAATGTTTTTCCTACCCCTTCTAACAACCATCTCTCCCAGTGCTGCCCAAGCATGGAACCGCAATGATGCACGAGCTGCCAAAGCTTTGTCGTTGCGCGGTCAGGCCGAGAACGATGCGATGCGCAGGTGTCATCGGGAGGCCGCACGCCAGCTTTATGAAGAACGTAATCAACATCTCTCTCACAAGGGATTGGATGAATCTTCGGAAGAACTCTATGTTGATCTCCACGGTCTTCACCCAGAAGAGGCTATTGAATATCTCGAGAAGATCCTGCTCAAGCATGCTCGAGAAGGCCTCCGGGTGGTATATGCCATCACAGGCACTGGTCATCACTCGAAGAACGGCAAAGATAAAATCGGCAAGGCCGTTAAAGCATGGCTGAACGAGTGGCGGTACT